ATCATCTCTTAATCTAATCTAATTCATCGTGTGAAAGCACAAATCACTACAGATGAGGCTATCAATACACATAAGAAGCAATTACTATTTATGTCGTGAGTAGAGTCTTTCTTCAACAGATGGCTCACTCTATTTATTTCATTATTATCAAGTCAGAATCGCCATACAATTTTATCTTTGGATGACCCCTTTAATTTGTTTTCAGTATTGTCATCTCTGTATCAAAGCATTCAAACTTGTTTTCTCTTGTCCTAATGCTAAAAAAGAACCCGGTGCAACCCCATCTTACCGATGCTCCTCATAATATATATTGTGATGAGCTATGAAGAGTTCCCTTAGAGGGACAAGAATAATTTATTGACTCACCATCATTTTTAAGGTTCTTCACTCTTAGCTTATATAATCTTATAGCACATCTTACTAATGGGCTTCAAGCTTCTAAACATTGACTCAAATGAGTGGGGGAAACCTTCACTACAACCTTGAAAAGCAGTTAACGTTGACTTCAAAATCCTAGGCACTGTTGTGGTTGAGTATTCTTCCCGCTTTTAGGCATCAAGCAACTTTGAATGGTCAATCATGTCAGCATCTTAGATATGACAATAATTAAAAAAGTTCTTGGCATTCAAAATAATATTATCAATTATCTATATACGGTCCCTAGTTGAACTTCTGCTCCCAGGATAAGGATGTAGCCATAACCTCAAAAGGGCAATAACAATCTAAATACAAACCAATTTTATTTTTAATTTGGGATTCATGCGGTACTCATTCTTTATCTCAGGGTATAATTAATTTCAGGGGGTTCATTTTGACCTCTTCCATACATATTAACATCGTTGAGTAGCACTTGTCAGTGGATTTCATTCGACCTCTTCCACAAATGCTAATGTTCTAACATACAGCCTTAGATAGGTCAAACATCCATGATGGATTTACTCACATCTCTTTCGTATAAGCTAACATTTTGAGTAATGCTCTAACGAACAATCTTTCATATAAGCTAATGTCATCGAGTAACAGTCTAATAGACAACTTCAAACAAAACAAACACGCTTAGTGGATTTCGCTCGACTTATTCCACACAGGCTAATGTTGTCAAGTAAAACTCTAACAAATAATCTTACATTATTTAAGTGATCATGGTAGATTTTATTCAATCTTGCTATCACATGTCAACCATAATATTGTTTAATTCAAAGGCCAATCACTCTTCTGTGATTACCAAAATGTCTGCATAAGCTCAACTGCTTGGCTATAATCATTTGTTAATAACCTTCATTTTTCAAGGCAAATAAAGAGTTAAGATACTTTGGTGGGCAAAGTTATGTGTCAAACAATAACCACTACCATCATAGTCATTTTATACTATCATCATTTTTTTTCCTAAACAATGGTCGGAGTCACCTTCTCTCAAATTTTGACAACAACCACTATTATCATAACCGTTTTATACTATCGTCATTTTTTTTTTGCTAAACAATGGTCGGAGTCACCTTCTCTCAAATTTTCAAATATAATTAGGATATTTAAAACCTCATTTTTCCCTCCTGGTTCTATAATCCCTTTCTCTTTAATTATATTTTTATTAAATGCTTGCTTTTATTAAAACAAATTGAATTGTTAAGATCAACTATTCTAAAAAAGTTGAAATCTTTATGTAAAATTAGGAAAAAAATATTTTAATAAGGTAAATCAATAAAATCTAGTTAATTAAACTCAAATAACAAGTGCTTTTTTTATATCATTTTTAAAATTTTAAAAAATATATATTGTTTAGCATATTTTGTAATTATTCTTATTTTACTACATAAATCAAATTATTTCTAAACATATTCAAATAAATTTTAAATATTTTAATTATTTAAAAAAAATGACTTAGTATAAATTGCCACAACTGCCACCTTTGCCATCAACCATCATCACCATCTCATAAACAAATAAAACCATATCTTTATGATATCAAACACAAGTTATTTCAAGTTAAACAAATTATTATAAATAAACGTGCCAAAAACAAAATAATTTAATTTCATATTGCACTTCAAAAATACAATTCCAATACAACAAAAATAATAATAATAATAATAATTTCTTGAATAAAACTTAGCGCTCATATCAATAAGAGTGCGCTCAGTGTAACAAGCTCCAAAAAAGTTATCGATCAAAGCAAACCTGCCCACTAATTTGCCCAGTGTAACAAGCTCCAAGAAAGTTATCGATCAAAGCAAACCTGCCCACTAATTTATGGAGACTGTTTCAATAACTCCAAGGAGAAATTATTGCATACGGACACCGCATGCATCTTTGCATGCAGTGTCCGATCCTGATCGGTGATCTACGGTCAGGATATCTTTCAGTTTTTTTTAAGAAAAAATTAGGTGGGGCCCACCGAAATACATCCTGACTGTAGATCACCTGATTTACGATTTGAATCGGACACCGCATACAATGGAATAATTTTTTAACTCCAAGAGGAGCTCTCCAAGTATTAGTATTACTTTAGACCCACCTTGTAGACATTTGCATATTAGATAAGCGCACATATGCATTTATTATGCTAATTGGAGCTCCAAATACCATAAAAAGTTATATTCTCCTATGGTTGATCACGTGGCTTCTACTTTGAAGCAGGCGATGATGCATTGATGCGAACATTCTCTCTCTCAACATAAGCTACACTTTGGTTATAACTTTCAAGATCCGTAACAGCAAACAAATTGATGCCCACAAAAAATTTCTGGAAGATTTACATAAATACCATACAATTCCTATGTATTTACATCTTTAACACCTGATCTTTCAATTTTTACACATATAGCACCTTACCATTGCATGAAATATGAATTTTACTTTTAAAAAGTTAAATAATTATATTTTTGATGCGATGTGAAATTTTTTTTGTGGTATAAATAGAAAAGTAAAATTTAGATTTTAGATGTGTAATTACATAAGAATAGGACTCTTAACGATCCAATTTCAAGTCGAGTATGCTCGATATTGAATCGAGCTCGATCCGGCTTGAAATCAAAATGAGTTGGCTCAAATTAGGTTATTTGATTCCATTTTAGCTCGAAATTAGCTTGTGACTCGTTATATTCAATTTTACTTTCAATCATATATATAATTTTTATAAATAAAAAAATACCACGAGCTAATATTGAGTCAGTTAGAGCAGATCTATGTATGACTCAAAATTGGCTCGAAAAAGATACGATCCAAAATTTCAGCTCATAGCCCGGCTCGTTTATTTTGATCCAATCTCAATTCAAGCCAAAATTCAAATTAATTTTTGGGCGATTAACAATCTTTGAGCTAAATCTACGGCCCAACATAGGAATTGGGTGTTATGTATATATATGTCCCAAAATTTATTGAAGTTCTGTGAGGGTCCGTTTGGGGCAGCTTATTGGGAGCGGCAGCGTTTTGAAAATGTCGCCTCCCTGGTCCGTTTGGGGCAGTTTATTGGGAGCGACAGCGTTTTGAAAACGTCGCCTCCCTGTTTGATAAATACGTTCGGATGGCTTATTCCTACTGCACTGCGTCCGCGTACAATAAAGCCTTTAAGTTGTTCGACGCAATGTAAGCCCCTTGTCCGACATTAGAGATCTGCGTTGCCTTAGGAACTCCCGAGGTACCCTTGATCTCCCCGTCCGACGTTAGCGATCCGCGTTGCCTTAGGAACTCCCGAGGTACCCTTGATCTCCCTCGCCTTCTCCCTCGTTGGATTCTTTTCTGGTTCGTCGCCCTAGAGGAGATCGAACCTTCTTCCCTTCTAATTTTCTTTCCTGATCATCAGATATCCTTTCGATTTCCCTAGCAGTGATCATGGGAAAGCTTCCTTTTCTCTATCTTTTTTCTGGGAAGTGTAGATGTAAGAAATGAAATTTTTTTTTTTTCGTATGAAATATGAGTACATTACGGGTTTTTAGTTATAACTTAGTTGAGATCTATGGCATGAGTTGCTTTCGACATTCTCTGGTTTTTGGCATTCATTTTCTCTGGTTTTTGGGTTTGGACCAGTTGAGATATGTTTCATTTTCTCTGGCATGATATGTAGCATTTTCTCTAATATTTGGGTTTAACCCTAGCTGCGATCCTTGGAAAACTACTTTTCTCTATACTACCAATAAGCTATTTTGAATAAGTTGCACCAAACAGTTTTACCATACAGGGGCAAGAATATCATTTATATAACTATAACTACTAATAAGCTATTTTGAATAAGCTGCTCTAAACAACAAACCAGATTATTCTGATAATCTGCAGATTATCAGATTATCAGAATAATCTGCTTATCAGCAGATTATAAATAATCAACAGCTGCCCCAAACAGACTCTGAAAGTTCCTCACGCATGGAAGAACACATAATACAGGCTCACCCAACTAGGCTTAAGAGCCTGCACTTATCCATGATCAAATCTAGTTTTCCTGAGATTGATTAACGTTAAACAAGCAAAACAACTAATTCACAACCAACCGAATCAACATATCAACAATATTCTTCAACTGAAGCATCAATACATTTCATGTATTTCCAAAACTAATGAAAAAAATTGCCTCTAAATTTATTCAGAATGTCTATGCAATAGAACAACATGTGATGAAAAAAAAAAAAAGAATTTTTTTCAGGGCAGGGGGTGGGGAAAATTCTTAGGAGATGAGGAAGAGGGTTTTAAGATATAAAAGCCAAAATCAAATTTAGTGTGCCCCACCAAATAATAATTGGTTTCTTTACCAAGAAATGAATGATGCTATTGAATAATATCAGAAAGAACATGAAACAACATTTACAGCTCCGAAAAGAAACTCTTCTGAAACTCCCAGAGTTATGGCTGCACTTGTGTTATCCCTTTCCACAAACCAAGAAGTATCACTGAAGAAACCAATGCGGCAAATTACTTCCTCGCCTTGTTAAGGAAGATACAGCCTCTGATCTGTGATAGAAATCCTTCGTGCACTCAAAAATGGCAGCTCAAAAAAAAATAAAATAAAATAATAAAAAAAAATTAAGTTGTGGGACCTGAAATTTTACACTCAGATACTACAGGTTTACATTACAACCATTCATGAAGCGGTCACCCTGCTTAAGATATTTCTTCCAGTGTCTTTTATAAGTTGTTATACCGAGTTCAAGCCATGGTTTCATATTTCCATTGTAGTGTAGCGTGGCTGCAGATCTCACATCAGCAGCACTGATTCGATAATTGTAACCAAGCCCAGATAGAGTCCATGAACTGTCCAGTGGGTGAACCCGATTTTGAAATGCCAATAAGCTTGCAGGAAGAGCTGAAGCTCCCCACGATGCTTCACTCCTGCTTTTCACCTGCCAATAAGAAGCAACAGAAAAGTTACGCATTATTTATTTGTTAAGGAAGAGCTTTTTCTACAAGTTTATTTCCAGTATGATTGTTGGAAGGAGATTCCAGTGATACAGATTTGACGACTAAAGTATAGGATAACTGGTGTTTGTAGAAAAGTTCATTGAACTTCAAGAATCTAATGTTTTGTGTTGCATACCTGGATAACAAATATCCCGACATAATTCACCTAAAGCGTCTTACTTTAAACTCCATGATTTTCAAACTCAAAAAAAATGTGAAGTTTGGTGAAACATTAGATGAGTTATTCTTTTTTCATTTGTAAAGGCATGGGATTTGAATGAAATATAAGACTGGGAAATATTACATGACCACCTCCACCCTACACCGGAATCACCCCACAAAATTTTCAAATTTGAATGAAATATAAGAGGACGGGGCAATATTACATGACCTTTTCCACCCTACACCGGAATCACCCCACAAAATTTTCATAAGAACAGAGTTTCACCTCTTCACAACCCCTTACAATTGAGGACAAAAATTAGTGTTACTATTTCAAACACTTTTCACCATTCTTCATGGAGAGGCAACCTATTAATGAGTGGCTTCTCTATTTGGTTCCTGTATTTTGTATGTACTGGAAAAATAATTAAGTGTCAATATAGCCTCCTGACTTTTTACACTAGGCCATTTTAGTCCCAAAACCTATAACATTGTTAAATTAGTCCTCATATAATTTAAAATGGAGTTGAAATAGTTCTCCATGGGGACTATTTAAGCTCACAAGAAAAGAGTCTGGGGCCACCACAATACCATAAAAAATCCGCACCTACCCTCTACACACACTGAATTGGCACTTTTAAAGGTTCTGGGGGACTAAAATAACTCCACGTAAACAGTCAAAGGACTATTTTGACACTTTACAAAAAATAATATATAGTACAGTAGGAGGAAACCCGCTTTTTAAAGATCGGTTAGTTCAAGAATGGAGAAGCAGAAGACAAATAATAAGCCTCCAAAGTAATGAAAAAAACCACCGTCAAGACTACTAAAGTTTCATCATGCAAGCTGCCTTGTTAGCCAATCGATCAGGATTCAGTTAAACACAACACCAACAAACTGTCTCAAGTTTTCATTGGTGATATCTAACGCGGTCATGCAAATTAGAAAGAAAATGAATATCAGAAAACAGTACTGCTTCCATGTTTCCTAAGATTAAAGATTGAAAAAAATTATTAAAAATCAAAAGTATGCAATGAAACACTTTTCAGATGAAATAGGTGAAATATCGCTTCTAAAGTTTTACCTTTGACATGACCTTATTGTAGATACCAGCAATGTTATGCTCTTTCCACTTTTCCAGATCTACCACATTCAATCCAGACATCCAGACACAGGAATCAGGATCATAGCTCCTTGTGGGCAAGTAAGATTTTAGCTGATACAATGTCACTCCACAGGACTCTACTGCACCAACAACTTTTCCTCCCATATCCATGTTCCACAAGGAAGAAAGGTCCTGCTATCATCATCCAAAACCACCACCTTCTTCAGATTCTTGAAAATTTCAGGAAGAAGAAAGTGAGAGTGTCCAAAAACCGACAGGTACTCAGTTTTCATCTGTTCAGTTGAGGATTTATTCTTGTTTTGCATGGTAATCCGGAACTCCTGGGAGAGAGATAGTTGAGGAAAAGCTAAACCATGCAGGTGAACCTTTTTATCAATATTTATAATATGAATAAATGCTTCCTTGAAAGAATATCTTGTAAACCAATATTTCATGGCATAGTAGTTCTGCTTATCAGTTATCAAATGGAAAACCATATTTTCTGTTTCCTGCAAAACACGGCAAAAGCCCATCAACATCAAATATATAAGGATTTAAATAGAGGGAAGTGCCAAAATAGTCTCATGATTAATCCCAGAGTTTAAACAATGCAAAATTAGTCCCCAATTTTTTTAATAAGGGCTAAAATAATTCTATAATTCTCGAAGGAATTCTTTCTACCGATATTAAAAGACTCACTATTAAAACACTTGTATAAATTCTGGGATTAAAATGGCCCCTGAAAAATGTTAGGGGATGATTTTGACACTTTTCTCAATTTAAATGTGAATTAAGAAAAATAGATCAGAAAAAAGTTACCTTCGAATTCATCACCGTTGAATTGACAGTAACTGATGCTGCAAGGACATTCCTAGTGAAAATCACATAATGTCTAAAGCTTGGGTTTCTTACTTTTGGAGCAAGTAATCCTCTATCTCTTGAAGAAGAACTGAACCATTCCACAGTCAATCTCATAAACAAGCAATGCAGACTTTTGGGCATAGTCTGCACACCAAGATTATAGAGAAATGCACTCTGCTTCATATGGAAATGAGCTTCATGCTCAGCCAGATCAAGAATCTGCCTTAGCTTTCTGTCAACATTACTGCAATTGATAGAGCATCGTTTGGATTTGGCAATTGTTTCATCCATTTTCTGGATCTTCTTTATGACACTGTTAACAAAAAAAGATGGTGTCAAGATTCCCCAAGAAGTTTATGAAGTTAAAAATGAAACTCCGGAAAAAACGCTTCTTGTAGGCTCTGAAAGGTGCTCATAAACTCATTATGCGATTCAATTCTTTTTGCACCTTTGGAGCCTCGATAAACAATTAAAAAATAAACTCAACAACATGAAGTTTCAAAGGCTAAGGTGCCAGAGATTTTTCCTAGGAACCTAATAAAGTTAATCAAGATTTATTTGAATAATGGGGCCCGAGCTTTAACAAAGGAACAAACTCTCATGGTTAATTGCATCTTGATGCCTGGAACACTCTCAAATAAGTATATCACTGAGTTCTAGATTGGTGATTAGAGGTCATGTTTATGTATAAGATTTGGGGCCGGATGGATGGTCAACTAGATCAAGATGTCATTGTTAATTCATCCAACTTCAACTTGGTGGACCCAAATCACCAATAATGGAGATTCATAAAGCCCAATTTCATGGAAATTTGATTACCATCCATGGGTTGTCCTAGATCAGATATTTTTGAGTAGATAGGGGTGGCAATATGTCAAAAAGATACATCACTTCAAAGTAAAGCTCAAATTTTATCTTGGATAGAAAAAAGTGTGATTAGTACAGCTGACCATGGTTCAGAGTTTCAAGGATCTGATCATCGAAGGCTCAGAGTTTTAGACTCAAATAGTATATACTAAAATTGGCTATGAGGCATAACACATTGTCGAGTGTATTCAGAGCTATAAATATGTAACTATTTCTAAGTGATATTGGCATAACCACTTTGGTTATCCGAGATGAGGTTAGGCTAACCAAAGGGGAATGCAAATCAAGGCACACAAGGTTAACACTCAAGGTTTGATTATTGAGTGGCCATCCCATTATTAATGAGGGTAGCATCCACATAATTGATGCAAGATTACTTTTATTAAAAAAAAAAAATTAATTGAACTGGCTACTGGTTCAATTGAACCGATGCGAGTTATCTCCATTAATATTACACAAAAGAGGAGAGGGTTTCAAGAAAAAAATAAAATAGCACAGGCATCTCAATCCCGAGCAAGAGAAGCACGTGTTAATTTGTGAAAGATGAGCAAACACATAGAAATAGTATGAAGTTGGCGATCAAGTAGATATGCATAAGCAAGGTAAGAATGAGAAGCTATAAAATAATGAACGGGAAAAGTAGAATAAACACGAAGTCAAATGCGAGTACAAGCAGGCAAGATAGAGCTAAAAATAAAGAAGAATCAAGGAGAGCTTATGAGTGGAATGTAAGGGTTTTATCTTTAAATTTAGAGCTACTTATTTACAATTAAGTTTATTAAATATAACTATTAGATTTAGAAAATCATGTCAAAAATTGAAAAAGCATGTACGAATCAAGAGGTTGAAGGATTGTTGACATCGCAAAGGAAGAAAGAGGATTTGAGGTAAATATTTAAATCTCGTATTTTGCGATTTAAAGTGAGACCAAAATATCAACTTTTTTAAGCTAAAAAACATAAATGCAATTACTATTCGTTAAATTAAATTTACATAGGATTTTGGTATTATTATTTGATAAAATAGGAAAGACAATTATTTGATAAAAAAGATATATCAAAATGCATTTATACAATAATTAAATGATTTCTCAAATATAATAATTGATGTATATATATTTAGTGAAGGCAATAAAATATAGTTAAATTTTAAGTTCTTCATTTATCAAACCTAGAAATTTATATTCAGACTGTACTCATTAACTGGTTCTTTTATAAATAATTGATTTAGAGTAAAGAAGAGGAATAAGCAATATAAGAAAATGGTGGTTTTGCCAATTGACAAGTGTGAACTAGGAAAGAAGAGTCAACTAAGACTACCTTGAAGAAAAACATGAAGTGGTAAAGGCAAATCTCCAACCATTAACGTGAGTGATAACATTTTCTATTTTATGATAATTTGGGGTTTCTTATTTTCATCTTAAAATAACATGTTCTAAGCACATTGAAAATTGTTAATTTTTTTTAATATATGAATAAAATAGACACTGCCGTTGCCGGTCCCAAGCCCGGATGAGAACATAATTATATATGCTGTAATGAATTAAGATAAATGCATTTTAAATCATGCTTTCATGAATTTAAGTTATACACATAACCTACTATGAATGAAAAGGTTATTGAAGCACAAAACCTACTATGAATGAAAAGGTTATTGAAGCACAATGAATGTACACATTCATCTAAGAAGTCAACTCCTGATGATACTAGCTAGAGAAACTATTTTAAGCAGTGTAAAATGAAAAAAATAAATAAATAAATAAAATGAACATACCTTACAAGTACAATATTTGACAATGCTCTTGAGATTATTTCCTTAATATATATATATATATATATATGCAAATATTAAAAATTTCTAATAAAGTGAAAATATAGTTGTTCACTCATTTTGAACTACATGCATGTTAGATCATATTTATAGAAATTATTGTATAATAGAACAGTAATTATCTACTGAATTATAATATAACTTAACAAGTTGTTTAATTTTTCTTATAAAAAAAGCTCTTATAAATCAAATTACTTGCAGAAGACACTATATACAAAATAATAGGCGCCATTGAATATAGGTACCAAAAAAATAGTTGTATAATATTTTAAAATTCTTCACTAAAATTGTTGTATCAAACCTAATTTATCTATGTGATTTGGATAGAAACAAAAATATTGATGTTAATGCTCTTAATAATTTGAAAGATGTGCTTAAATTGTTTTAATTGTTAGAACAATGTCTTTAATATCTATTTCCATCTTAGTAACTCAAAATTTTCGAACATATGGGGTTATAGCAACCGAGGATGTATGTGAGGTGAGGCTTATGAGGTTATGGCCTAGTCTATGAACGTTGATGGCACTTATGGTTTATAACCCAACCCATATGCAATGGAATTTGTATTCCCTTTAGACATAGAATATCAAGGAAGGTATCAAGCTAAATCTCTGAAGTTTTGAATCGACTCTATGAATAGGTAGGTCTTATAAGCTATAGGTCAGGAGAGGGATCAATAATAGGAATTAAGAGGGATCAATAATAGGTATTACAACCTCATTTATATGCAAGGTGTCCTCGATTGCAACTTTCATAAATGACCTTAAGTGCATTTTACAGATATTAAACAAAATAACTTGGTGAATTTCGCATCACTAGGTCATAAAATATCATATATAAGTTATTGTGTCGTATGCGCCACTATAGACTTCAGTAGCTCCCCTGGGGGTCGAAATTATATATTCTCTTACTACTATGTGACGCGAGAATGCCAATCACAGGTCGGACGCGACGTAGAGGGAGTTGCGGGCTTCTCCCGCGGTGTCCTTCATCTGGATCAAACTGGTCTAGACCCGGAAGATCAATCAACGCACCCACAAGAGATTGGTGCCTCCTTTCCATAAGGGGATCTAATCCTATTTTTTTAGGGCTTATATATGTTATTCATGTTTTTAAGTTTTCAATTTTTTGTGATTTCCGTAAGAACAGTCGTCAGCGTTCAGGTCTTCACTTCTAGGGTTGTATCTGACAACGAGTAGTGCTCTAGATGTATCTAGTCCAAGGTGGTTATTATCCTTGAACTTTCCACTACCCCTTAACATTCACTCCGCCGTGGTCATCAACATATTCGCTACTACCACCCGAAACATAATCTCCTCGTTGTTTTCCCGCAGATAGCTCCCTCCCACCTTGCTAACCCCTCTCCTGCCACCTATCCACTATTCCAGCCTGAGTAAATCCCTTCCCCCGAACCCTAGCTGCTGCCCCAACCTTCACGAAGCAAATCCCTACCACCTAATCGTTGTCCCAACCTCCCGAAATCCCTTCCCCTTGCCAAACTAGCTCCTTGCCACCTAATCGTTGTCCCAACCATGTACAACTTCCACATCACAGTCCACAATCCCCAACCTTCTTCCAGTCGCCGACCAGCACTCCCCTTTCTCTTACTGGTCGCCCCCACAACCAATTCTCAACCTATTTCACCGGTCACAAATCTTGGGATACGCTTGTTGTTGTATTTTACTTTTAAGAATGTTTGAGTAAACCTATTTGCTTTGAGTAATAATATTTTCTTTGCACTCCCCTTTCTCTTACTGGTCGCCCCCACGACCAATTCTCAACCTATTTCACCGGTCACAACTCTTGGGATACGCTTGTTGTTGTATTTCACTTTTAAGAATGTTTGAGTAAACATATTTGCTTTGAGTAATAATATTTTCTTTCCCTCTCCGGAATCAATGGGTATCAAAGCTAGTCAAACCGTAGTGCTATCCTAGGGTCTCGAGCCTACCTACACATCTTCACTCCAAAAATTTTCTTTCATATCCTCAAATACACTCTTCCGCTCTCACATACCCAAACCCTAACCATGCCACCAAGGAAAAACATGACGGAACCTACACGGGAAGAGATACAACGAGAGATCCGTCGACAGGCTTGCGAATATTGATGATGAGACCCACGGGAAAATTACCTTCGATCGTGATATAGAAAGCCAAAAAGAAGAAAGAGATCAGAATTTGAACCCCTTTCATAGGGAGGACTTCAGTCACGAGAAGAACATACGACGAAACTTTGGAATTAATATCAGAGAAGACCGAGAGAGAAGGCAACATATGGAGCATATAGAGATTTTGGATTAAAAATGAATTTATCAGAGTTCGATGGAGAAATGAATCCAGATAATTTCATTGAATGGTTATAGTCGGGTGAGAGAATCTTCAAGTACAAAGAAATACCTGAAGACAAAAGAGTGAAGTTCACGGTTATCAAATTGAAAAAGAGCACTTATGATGGGAAAAATTGCAGATCCAAAGAAAGAGAAAAGGAAATGACAAGATGACTAGATGGGAGAAGATGAGGAAGAACATGCAAAAAAAAGAAACTTACATCCTCACTACCATCAGGATATATTTTTGAGGCTCGTCACCTACAATAGAGAGACTTATCAGTGGAGACGTTCAAGGGACAATTTGACTTTCAGATGAAATGTGAACTGGTTAAGCTGGCGGAACATATGGTAGCTCGATATTTGAGAGTCCTGAAGCCAGCTATAAGTAATATTGTGCAACTACAGCCCTATTGGTCACTAAAAGATGTCCAGACCTTAGCACTAAGGGTAGAGATACAACAGAAACAAAGTGGGCAACCACCAGCATTCAAACAACCACTCACAATTGGAGACGTCAACAGGAGCACGCCTTAGAGAGTTTAGTAGGCTGGTCAAGATAAAGACTAAGCAACTTAGGGTGAGAAGAAGCCTGGGAAGAGTAGCACGCCTACTACAGTCTCAACCAGAAATGTTTCAGATGCCTTGAAGTTTGGCACATCGCATCTAATTGCCCAATGAGCTGGGTTGTGTCCTTTACCAAGCAGGGTGTAGTGGAGGACGCTAGCGATGAGGAAGCATCTAAAGAAAAGGGTGAGGAGAGATCCCATCATATGGGGGTGAAATGTTTGTAATTCGACAAGTCCTTTAAACTGCAGCGTCAAAGGAGTTACAGTGGCTTCACTACAATATAATCTACCCTCGTTGCACCATGAAGATAAAGGTATGCAGCACTATCATCGATGACTTCCACACTGAAGGTGGAAAGTTGAGCACACGACTCAGAGACATCCGAAAAATATTCCCTAACTTGGTTGAAAAGAGAAAACAAAATCAACATTGACAAGGGGGTCTCTTGGAGTTTTCAATTGTGAAGCAGGATCAGTTTGGTGTGATAAGGTGCCCATGAATATCTGTTATCTTTTATCGAGGAGATGGTGATAGTATGATTGCAAGACTCATCATGATTGGCACAAAAACACAAATTTATTCACCAAAGATGGCAAACCCATAACCCTTCTACCTTCTGCAGAGTCGGAGAGTAAATGTTCCATTTCCAATAGAGAAGCATTGGGAGAACCAAACTTGGGGATGATAGAGGACCAAGAGAGAGAAAAATTGGTTGCAGACACAGGACAGCCAATATAGAGTTTCAAGACATCATGTTCGCTAGCTTACCACCCTGTCCACCACCATTCAAAGAAATTTAGACTATCCTCACCTCAAATTAGGTTGGTACCACCATTCAGATGGATTTAGACTATCCTCACCTCAAAACAGGTTGGACCAACTTTGGTTTGTTTTTGGAGAACATAATAGAGCACAAAATCCCGGTTCAGCTCAGTAGGGTACTCCCAGATAGGTGGATCGATACAGATGTTTGCTCGCAAGTGGGGAAAACTATTCAGGTGTTTTGGGAGACTGTGCGGTCGCCAGTAGGATCCAGGTTCTTCTCGGACCGCAATCTAAGACCCCTCAACCTTGGGAGATTACAACAGTTCCACTACATTCAATGTGCAAGTAGAAGCTTCGAAGAATGAGGTCGAAGATCCCCTTAAAATCGGGAGACTGACACGGGCACACGTCAATAACACCGCAAGCGCTACGTAGAGTGAGTTGCAAGCTTCACTTGCAGTGTCCCTTGTCTGAACTAAACTGATCAAAGCCTCCTTCCATAGGGGATCCAATCCTAATTATTTAGGGCTTATATATGTGATTCATGTTTCTAAGCTTTCAGTTATTTTTGTGCTTTCTGTCATGATAGTTGTCGGCATCTAGTTCTTCCCTTCTAGGGATGAATGGTGCTCCGGTTGTATCTCATCCGAGGTGGTGATTATCATTGACTTTTCCACTCCTCCATAACCTTCCCTCCACCGCCACCATCACCACATTTGCACAACCACAAGAAATAACCTCCACATTGTTTTCCTGCAGTCGCCTACCACCCAGCTCCTTCTCACATTGCTGTCATCCCCCACCGCAGCATTCCAACACCCCAACCAACCCTTCTCCTGCCACCTATCCACAGGTCAAGCCTCACGGAATCCCTTCCCCAACACCCAAGCTGCAACCCCAACCTTCGTGAATAAGTTCCCTACCACCTAACTGTTGTCCCAACCTCCCGAAATCCCTTTCCCAGAATCAGAACTTTTGTTCCAACCTTGCCAAACCAGTTCAGTCGCCAGTAGGATCCAAGTTCGTCTCGGGCCGCAGACTAAGAACTCTCAACGTTGGGAGATAACAGGAGTTCCACTACTTTCAATGTGCAGACAGAAGCTTCGAAGAATGAGGTCTAAAATCCCCAAAATCCAGGTGATTGCCACTGACACACACATTTAACGCCGCAGGCGCTGCGTAGAGGGAGTCACGAGCTTCTCCTGCAGTGTCCCTTGTCTGAACCAAATCAACCATCGCCTCCTTTTATAGGGGGATCCAATCCTAATTATCTAGGACTTATATATGTGATTCATGTTTCTAAGTTTTCTGTTATTTTTGTGTTTTCTGTCACAATAGTTGTTCACGTCCAGGTTTTCCCTTCTAGGGACGAATGGTGCTCCAGTTTTATCTCGTCTGAGGTGATGATTATCCTTGATTTTTCCACTCCTCCATAGCCTTCCCTCCACCGCCACCATCACCGCATTCGCAACAACCACCCAAAAAATAACCTCTTCATTGTTTTCCAGCAGCCGCCTACCACCTAGCTCCTTCTCACATTGCTACCATCCCCACTGCCGCCTTCCAACACCCCAACCAACCCTTCTCCTGCCACCTATCCGTTGGTCAAGCCTCACGTAATCCCTTCCACCACACCCTATCTACTGCTCCAGTCTTCCTGAACCAATTCCCTACCACCTAATTGGTATCCCAACCTCCCGAAATCCCTTCCCTTGCATCAAAACTTTTGTTCAAGCCTTGCCGAACGAGTTCTTTACCACATAATCGCTGCCCCGACCACATGACCTCCACACAGCAATCCACAACCCCCAATTTTCTTTTTGTTGTCGACCAACACTCCCCTTCCAGGTCGTACACACAACCAACTCCCAACCTCCTTCACCCGTCACCGCTATTGGGATACACTTCAGTTAAATTTGTTTATGTCTGTTGTTGTATTTTGCTTTTAAGAGTGTTTGATTGT